GCTGTTGTTTGCAGGGAATTGTGCAAACATTAGCAATAACCCGAGAGATGTTTTTTTATTGTGTGGGAGTAGATACTGAATAATAAAGACTTTATTAAGAACTGTTTTCCTGTAATGAGATACAGTTTAAGGGAACACATGTGTAAGTCAATCCCACACAAATGATAATCATAATAAACTCAAGTAAACTGGAAATTCTGTATGTTCAGGTAGTGAGATGTAGTAAATGATTTGAACTCCACGGCAGCACTATTGACTTAAAGTTAATGCGAGCAGCAACAGACATTAATTAGTCTAAATTCATCCTACACAGCGTTCACTACCTGTTACAGCAGTTTCACAGCAAAATCATGAAGTATTATAAATAATCACTTTGTAATGTAAAGAGCCAGACCTCTTATACCATCCAAGTGATCCACGATTATTTCCAACATGATGGATTTTATTGAGGCTAGTTCTCCCATGATTCTGTGCCATGTGTCTGTCAAGTGGAGCAGAAACTTTGTCCAAATTGCAGCACAAACTGTAAACATCTGCAAGATAAATGAAGTCTAAGTTCAACTTCAACCATAGACTTGAGGCCACAGGCTGAGTGCAGAAAATAATCACAGTCGTGCTGATATTCAGTACAACAACACGACCTTGAGTGTGATAATACTGTCATACAACAGTTCTACAGGCACGATTAATTAATTAACTGTAAGAAGCAGCAGATTATGATAAAAGATATTAAGGAATCATTTGTGTGACTCCAACACAAATAGTTTAGTCAGGACCACTGTAGTCAAATAAAACTTTATTTCCATTTGCAGTATTATATTTGGGGGTATGGCTCTGTTCTGTCCTCAGACCTATGCAGAAAGCCTAAAGTGGAGAGCACAACTCTGCCCTTCCACACGCCAACAAGGAAAGCCTGAGGCAGAGAGAGCACACCTTCCTGCCCTTCCATGCGCCAACATGGAAGTATAAGGCAGGGAGTGCAGCAGCAGATTACACTGATAAGTCAGACACAACATGAAAAGGAGGAGCTGGGGTGGAGGCAGGTTGCAAAGCAGCTTGCAGAGGAAGCGGCAACAGTAGACAGGCCAGAGCAGTTTAAATAGGGCGCCCTGAATGAGATTCACCAATTGGTTGCATAGAAAGGAATCATGTGATCTATCAGCTGACTCCCTTCATCNGTGTGTGTGTGTGTGTGTGTGTGCTCACTTCGACCACAAACTGTCTCTCTGTAACAGGAGCCACGATTGAATGTAAAAACCACTAACTCAATCTTTCTTCGCACCGCCTCCCCCTACGTCTTCCACATACACACACACATACACACTCTCCTACTGTTTGGGGAGAAATACATATTTATTCTCTTTTGTTGTATTTGTTTGTTTGGGCCGCAGTATCTCTGGGGATTAGAATAAATTGTTTAGTTTAAAGAGTCGGACATAGTGTGTGTTGTGGGGATTTGTCGGCCCTCGCCGCTGTTGTTTGCAGGGAATTGTGCAAACATTAGCAATAACCCGAGAGATGTTTTTTTATTGTGTGGGAGTAGATACTGAATAATAAAGACTTTATTAAGAACTGTTTTCCTGTAATGAGATACAGTTTAAGGGAACACATGTGTAAGTCAATCCCACACAAATGATAATCATAATAAACTCAAGTAAACTGGAAATTCTGTATGTTCAGGTAGTGAGATGTAGTAAATGATTTGAACTCCACGGCAGCACTATTGACTTAAAGTTAATGCGAGCAGCAACAGACATTAATTAGTCTAAATTCATCCTACACAGCGTTCACTACCTGTTACAGCAGTTTCACAGCAAAATCATGAAGTATTATAAATAATCACTTTGTAATGTAAAGAGCCAGACCTCTTATACCATCCAAGTGATCCACGATTATTTCCAACATGATGGATTTTATTGAGGCTAGTTCTCCCATGATTCTGTGCCATGTGTCTGTCAAGTGGAGCAGAAACTTTGTCCAAATTGCAGCACAAACTGTAAACATCTGCAAGATAAATGAAGTCTAAGTTCAACTTCAACCATAGACTTGAGGCCACAGGCTGAGTGCAGAAAATAATCACAGTCGTGCTGATATTCAGTACAACAACACGACCTTGAGTGTGATAATACTGTCATACAACAGTTCTACAGGCACGATTAATTAATTAACTGTAAGAAGCAGCAGATTATGATAAAAGATATTAAGGAATCATTTGTGTGACTCCAACACAAATAGTTTAGTCAGGACCACTGTAGTCAAATAAAACTTTATTTCCATTTGCAGTATTATATTTGGGGGTATGGCTCTGTTCTGTCCTCAGACCTATGCAGAAAGCCTAAAGTGGAGAGCACAACTCTGCCCTTCCACACGCCAACAAGGAAAGCCTGAGGCAGAGAGAGCACACCTTCCTGCCCTTCCATGCGCCAACATGGAAGTATAAGGCAGGGAGTGCAGCAGCAGATTACACTGATAAGTCAGACACAACATGAAAAGGAGGAGCTGGGGTGGAGGCAGGTTGCAAAGCAGCTTGCAGAGGAAGCGGCAACAGTAGACAGGCCAGAGCAGTTTAAATAGGGCGCCCTGAATGAGATTCACCAATTGGTTGCATAGAAAGGAATCATGTGATCTATCAGCTGACTCCCTTCATCAGTCAGCTGATCCATTGGTTGATCAGCTGATGTAGCTGGGATGTGAGCTGAGCTTGACATCGTGTGCTACCTGAACTGACGCTATGCTTAATTTCCACAACTGAGACTGGACTGTTGCCAAGCAAAAGAAAAACATTCCTGAACTCTAGCTCTCTACTCTGTGTAGGTCTGAACATCACCGCAGGCCAGCTACTCTGTATCAGCTCACATTTATCTGTATGTTTCCATTTATAGTGCAACCAGTGAAATAAGTCTGTTGACAGTCGTTTTGGTAACATGTATGATCCCACTGAGTTAACAGCTCAGACAGTGTGTTGCGACGTCGGCTGATGTCACATGAGCACACCTGGAGGTTTGCGAGAAGTATTCAGGCTTCTTTCCTTCCATTCGTTCTCTTCTGAGGAACATTCATAATTCAAATGTTACTTGTGGAAATATTTTCATCTTTGTGGTGCAAAGTTTGTCACGACGACTGTCAGTGAAGGCTCATAAACGTTTAATGTAATCAACAGTTCAGAAGTCCTCAAACTGTTGATATATATAGATATATAGTTACACACGGTGGTCCGACCTATCTGACATTTCCGCTGTGCTTATTTCATGTACTGTGTTGCTTTGCTAGCATCTTTGATCAACTAAATCTACAGGCATGAAAGCTAGACAATGTACTGCTGTGGATGAGAGCAGCAGCAAAACATATTTGACGGAGACCCACCCTAAAAAATCAATATCAGTTTGAGTGTAGCTATATTTGGAATATTTTTAGTGCTTTGTCTTACACACTAAGTGATCAAGGCAGCAGTAGACCAGCAACCCACGTGTTTTAAAATGTTTTTGTCTGGTGGCTTTGAGATAACGGTCTCAGTTACCTGTTGCAAAAAGGCTGTCTGACGACAAGGTAAGGTGAGGAAAATATTTAATTATAGTGTACACTCAAACAGATTTTTGAACACAGGAGGGAGTTTATTTTGGGTGGCTGAAAACTGTTTGAGGTAGAGTTTGCTCAGCACCATTTCATTTGATATATGTGATGCGGGGGTTCTCTAACCAGAAGTTATTGTGATTCAGTCTATGGCTGCATTTAGCCCGCACAAAACATAGCAAAACGTTTATTAAAATAACATCGGGTAACACCTCTGACACACCCACTAAATGAGAGAAAACATACTGTAAGGCTTCGCTGATGTAAATGGCTGTATGTTCAGTACTCACCCGCCGAAGTTAAGCAAAGTACAGAAACAGAAGATTCCTTGTCCTGTGAAGTGCGTTCCACCCATGCACATCCAGACGGATTAGCCTAGCGTACTTCGTAAGCCGAAAGCACGACAGTACCTGAGTGCCGGTTTCACACAAAACATATCGTTCAACCCGGAAACTGTAGCAAAATGGTGAAAAAAGGTTTGAGATTAAATGTGCCCTATATCAGCACTCATACTCTTGTCCAATCAAATTACTTGGTGGGCAGTAGTAGGCAATTCTGTTTGAAATCATGTGATAATTGATAAATAATGTGGTATAAATATCATAGATACAATCTCATGTACTGGTGGAACCTAAACAGTGTGTTCATATATTCTGTTGCCAGATGCAGACAGGTGGTGTTTAGTTCTCGTCAAACAAAGAGAAAATCAGCAAATGTCAGTGTATCAGGCTATTCCGCTCACTCTTTACAGATCACTTATGATTGGAGAAATCTTTTAATGTGTCTGAGGCTTCACTGTATTAATGTCAAGCCCACCATTATTGAATAAAAGCATGTCAGCTTAGTCATATTCCCCCTGGATAAATATGGGTTAAAGAACAGAGTCGCTGACACCAGCAGACGATATTTTGCTGTTCCCTGAAGCGAAAAAGGCTGAGACACGTTGCTTTAGAGTTTCCTCACTGCCGGTGCTCCGGGGGGAGAAGAGAAGTAGGCATGAGGAGAAATCAGAGAGAATTTTATCTCTTTCAGAAATCCCCCGAGGAGATTCAGGCAGGGCACCAGGGGTAAATTGCTCGTGGTTTCCTCACCTTGGAGTCGGGCTGAGCGGACCATGCAGATGAGGTCACAGCAATTCCTAAGACTGATATAATCATATTTGATGTTGGAAATTTCTTTATACTTATACCTCCCTCCACATTCATGACATTCTGAAATTGACAACTTGAGAGCTACCTGATAATCAGAATTTTGGGACATAAGATAAAGATTTTATCACAAGCTTGATCTCCAGAGCAGCGAGTGTGCCCAGGCACTAACAGAGACCTTAACACCTTCCACTATTCCTCTGTAAGTTTCCCCCAGGTCATAAGTAAATTCAGGGATCAGAATCTCACTCACGGACACTAAACCTTGTTCTTAACTTAAAGACGGTCGTTGTTGTACTTGTGTTTTTCAGCGAGAAGTTCATGGTCAGACTGAACAAGAATGGCGGACCGAAGAATCCAGAGAAGGTGGACAGGCTGTGTGCCCTCTTCACGGTAACACACACACACACACACACACACACACACACACACACAAACATAAAATGTTAAAGATGTGCTTAAAATGCAGCTGGTTAGTGTAGTTACAGAAGAGTACATCTGAAGAACTGGGAGGAGGAATATAAAAGTGAGGATACATTGCCCCCTATTGCTGTGTGTCAGTCACAGTCATGACTTCAGCAAAACTCCACCAGGAACCAGTCATGACAAACACATTTTCATTACTTTGGTAGCGTGAGGCTTTTTGGATAAAGGTTTGTCTAGTTTGCTTTATGAATGCTCCAGAAATGATATAAAGCTCAGTCAAGTCGGTAGCATTTGAATGAATATATGAATAATGAATACAGCATCTAAAATGCAGGAGACGCTGCAGGTTTGTGTAAGGCTTATTCACAAGGTTAAGCACATCAATAACAATACAAGAAACAAGGTGAAGAGACATCAACAAACAAGGCACTCTTTATTAAAAAGCTAGTTGAAGCCTCTGTGGTTTCGGGGTGAAGATGGCGACCATGAACCGCAGCATCCTCAGTCAGTCAGTCTCTCTTTCATTCCCTGTCGTCTCTCTACGGAATCTAATAAAGGCATAAAACAAATAAAAAATAATAAAAATTTACAAAAGCAAGTAAAACACGACAGTCTCTTTCCTGTTTTTTTAAATCACAGTGGATGCTGCTGTCATTTTAGTCTGTTTTGGTGCTTGGAGCAAATATTTAAAAAATGCTGCGGGGACATCTCCAGTCGTGCGTTTCTATATTGTAGGTTTGAATATAAACCTTGATATTTCCTGCACATCATCACATCATCATCTGCCTTCTCCTTTCTTACTGAGATGTGATTAATGTCATTTAACAGAGCCAGAAAACGTCAGTGCTGCATTTGAACCTGTATTTTTAGTTTCTGTGTTGTTTCTATCTCTTGGACTCTGCAGGACCTGAGCAACAAAGACATGAAGAGAGATCTCTACATCATCTCCCAGGTCATCAGAACAGGTCAGACTGCAGAAAATTTAAATTCCTCCAGGCATGGACATAGTTTGGAAGTAACAGAAATTTCAGAAAAGTTTTGATTTTACATTTTTTTGGCTGTTGTTTAAAACACATTTATAAAAATGTCGCTACACAAATCCTCTGTATTAGCCTACTTACTGAACATCTAGTGCTGCATTGTTGTTGAAACGTCACTAGTATCACATGATTCGCATAAACCAGGCCGACATAGCGTCATCACCAAGGCCGTGCCCCCTTTTGAGGTAAAGAAACGCTGTCACATCAGAAGAAAAACAGGAAAATGCTTAAAAGCTGTTGCGTAGAGATAGAGCCAAGGCACATTAGCGCTGGGACACATGCTGCGTCTTTAACTGCCTGGAAAACGCAAAGTCAGCCACTGGGTGCTACTCTTGTGAGACTCTGATCCAGCTTTCAAGAGCGCAGAGGAACATTTTGTTGCTAAGCGACCATAACTAGCACCATATCATGGCCTGCTTACCTGAAATCCTGAGTGCAGAGCTGATCTTCCTGCAGATGCTGTTTTTTGAGTGTGTATTAGGCCTAAAATATTGTCTGTGGGACTGATGTAAAGCTCTGGGTGGCCCTGAAATAAAACGACCAACTTCTTTTCTATATTTATCTCAGACTGATACTTACAGGAGAAAAGAGAGAGATATCTATCGGCTGTGATTGGTTGTTCCTTTCAAATGACATGCAAAAGTTGAACTCTGGGTCTGCTGATAAATACTCCGAGTGCCAGACCACACTGACACAAACTGGACCGTCCGTAAACGCTCTCGGTGCAGCGCAGCACCAATCGGAGTGAATGCGTGATTAACTTAACTGTTTGTTAATTAATGTAGAAGCAGAACACTCTGTTTCTTCAAAAAAACAGGGGTCTCATCAGCATCATGCTGGATCTACAAACACACCCTTTGTTTATCTCAGGGAGCAGCTGTTGCACTCTGAAAATAGGTGCGCTGGAATGCTTATGCGTTGAGGCGGCGTCACTCTCACTTTAGCGTGCCTCCTGTGCTTCTACATTGAAAAAATTGGATTTCAGGGTGCAAAAAACACAGCATGTGTACAGTCCCATAGACACATGCATATTTACTGTCAATGTGGTAAATCTCTAAATGATGCCAGTGACAGTTACTACTGATGGATAGCTAATGTTAGCTCGAGTGGGAGGCTGCTGCAGTGCAGTCATACAGTGACACAACTAAATCTCAGCCTGTAGATCAAAGAGTTGGCTTTAACAGGCTGGTTGTTTACAGCCACTGATCCTAGTGATACCTGGTGATTCAGTAAAATATACATTATTGGTTGAATCACCAGGTATCGTGATTCAGATAAGCGATATCCAGCCACTGTGTTGGGTCATGGATCTACTTGGACAGGGGAGGACTTGCTCTGTAGGCCCACCCATTTTAAACTGCTTAAATAAAGTCATGGAAATATGATAAAATATTGTAGAAAAATTCTGGTAAAGTTTTGAAAATTTGTTGGTAGAAATGCGTGGGAACCCTCTATTCAGTGGGACACAGAAAAATCTGCAACACCAACACAATGTTACACAATCAGCCCTGACTTTGTTAAGTTGAATTTGTTTTTGTTGAGACTGTGAGGGAAGAGTTGAGTTCACGGGTCATTTTTGAGTACTGCCTCTACATTAGACTATGAGTCATCATTTATAAAAGGAGACCAAATCAAATACGACCTGTTATTAAGGCCAAGGTTTCAGCTTTTTAGACTGTTAGATTCCAACTTAGACAGAAGTTAATGTTTGTACGCTGCAGAATGAATGTGGATTCTTGTCTATATTGAATATTTCTCGCTTTATAACACACCACCACACACACTTCCTGTTGCAGGTCGTATGCTGTTGAATGACAGTAAGAAGGGTCCTCCACATGTTCAGTACCGTCGGCCGTACGGCTGTGCTGTCCTGGCCATGAGCGACGTGCTGCAGACCATCTCAGAGCTCAAAGAGGAGAAAGACTTTGTCCTGAAAGTCTACACGTACGTAGCCGTGCACACACACACACACACACACACACATACACACACACACACACACACACACACACACACACACACATATATATACGCATTATGATTTATTATATGATTATGTTGTATATATTTCTGTGTCTATCTTGATTTTTTTTACTTAATATGATCGTCATGATTTTATAGGCATTAATAAGAGTTTCTCCTGGAACTGAAGTTTATTTATAACCAGCTTCCTTCTGACTTCTGAAAAACTTTACTTTAGCCTAATTAACTTTCAGGCTGAAGATCTGCTGATTGCAACAGATTTTATTCAACACTAAATTGACACACACCACAGTCACCACACCAAAACAGATCTGATACCGTTGCACTACCAGCAGGTACTAACCAGACATTAAAGTTTTCTGGGAGCAAGAACTCACAGAGAAACAGGTTCATAAAATCATAACTCCATTCATTTTATATACACAAGGGTCAGATCTCTAGTTCATAGCTTTAGAAAGGAGAACTGCAAGTTCACAAGTACGAACTGAAATACGATACAGCAGGAAGGAATTCATGAAATGGGTGTCATTAACCTTTTAACCTCATCTCACAAACATCTTCACTGAAAAGGAGACACACATACACAAAGGGCTCTATTTTCCTTTCAGAAGGAGAGCTTTTGTCACGAGCTGAACATTTTAGGGCAGCGAGGAAAAGTAGTTCAGAGTGAAGCTTGTTAAAATGAATGTGATATAAAGAGTTAGAGAGGGAGGATGGCCAAAAGATTAAAGGTCAGTGAGGAGAGTCAATAAAGAAGGTGATGTCTCATATTTTTTCATCATTGAGCTGTACCATGAAGAGAGATGAGTGGCTTAGCGAGGTATGTTGAGTCTGAAGTTGGAGTTTTCCGTCCTATGAAGGTGGCTGTCTTTTAAAGGGGAACAACACCTAAATTAAGAATATCCGGATATATTATCCGGAACACGATCGTGTTCACGATTGTGAACACGATCTACCCTCTCTCAAAGCCAGAAAACAGAGAGGGTAAGTCTCAAACTTGTGATGTCATAGGGTATAAAGTCTGGCAAACAGAGGACTGATTTTGTGGACTCACAGAATATTTGTTTTCTTTCTTCGGGGTGTCCTACACATTCATTCATTCATTTATGGCGGCCCACCACAGAGCAACATCTGCAGCCACTTATTCATTTTTATTTTTGGAGCTGGATCGTTCATTGCACCACATTCTTGAAGTGGAGAACTCTGGGAACAGACGGAGCAGCAGAACATCAGGCGCAGTGAAAGAGAAACTTAAGCTTTTATTGTGCTGGGTCTAAAAGTTTGATTCACTCGCCTCTGCAGCAGCTGCTGCTCTCATTAGGATCGACTGATCAATTATCCAACCAGCCTTTCAAACTAACTATAGTGCTTTCAGCATTTACACCAAATAAGTAATTTTCTTTCAGCATGCTTCCCTCGCATTAACTGAATTAATAGTGTTTTTTTTTTAACTGTAATACTTTTTAAAAAGCTAATCTATAAAGGTGGCATACAGTTTATTTTAAATGATTCGCATAACACACCATTTGACTTGACTCAAGGCACAGCCGGGTGGAGGAAGGGCTCCGGTTTGGGGACCTCAGAATTGCATCCCTGCTTTTTGAAGATGATGTGGTTCTGTTGGCTCCATCACGCCATGACCTCCAGCATGCACTGGGGCGTTTTGCAGCCGAGTGTGAAGCAGTTGGGATGAGAGTCAGCACCTCCAAGTCTGAGGCCGTGGTTCTCTGTCGGAAACCACTGGATTGCCCTCTCAGGGTTGGGGGAGAGTTACTGCCTCAAGCGAGGGAGTTCAAGTATCTTGGGGTCTTGTTCATGAGTGAGGGTAGAATGGAGCGTGAGATGGATTGGCGGGTCGGTGCGGCTTCTGCAGTGATTCGGGCACCGCACCGGTCCGTCATGGGGAAGAGGGAGCTGAGCCGGAAGGCAAAGCTTTCAATTTACTGGTCCATCTACGTCCCAACCCTCACCTATGCTCATGAACTCTGGGTAGTGACCGAAAGAATGAGATCGTAGATACAAGCAGCTGAAATGAGTTTCTTCCGTGGGGTGTCTGGGCTCAGCCTTAGAGATAGGGGGAGGAGCTCAGAGTAGAGCCGCTGCTTCTTGGAGTCGAAAGGGGTCAGTTGAGGTGGTTCGGGCATCTGATCAGGATCCTCCTGGGCGCCTCCCGCTGGAGGTGTATCGGGCACGTCCCACTGGTAGGAGGCCCCGGGGCAGACCCAGAACACACTGGAGGGATTACATATCTTGTCTGGCCTGGGAACGCCTTGGGGTCCTCCAGGAGGAGCTGGAAAGTGTTGCTGGGGAGAGGGACGTCTGGGGTGCTTTGCTCAGCCTGCTGCCCTCGCGACCCGGCCGGTGACTTGTTTTATGTGGACATGCGCAGAACCTGCCAAAGAAAGCCTGGCTTAACAGAGCAAGTTTATAACCACCTTTGTGTTACATGTTATCTCTGACTGAGGCTTTAGGGTTTGTTGGCCAAGCTCAGATAAAGAGAGCCTGGCTCCATTGAGCTGTCTTTGAGGTATAGCCCTCATATCCTTACATACCACTGACCTTTTCCTTTCTCTCTTCCTTTTTTGGTTTTATTCTTCACCTCGTGTAACACTTCACCCTCATATTATTGTGTTCTCACTCTGACATTGTATTATGTAAAGGAGAAGGAGGAGGGAGAGAGTCCCCATGAGCTACAGACAGCCACTTCACTGTGTTGTCTCAGAGTCGACTCTGCGGTCTTATAATGCCGTCAGCACATTCCTCTCTCAATCTCACACACACACGCGCGCGCACACACACACACACACACACACACACACACACTGGCAATCGCCCTTGGCTGAAACTTCTGAAGATTTGCCTGCAGGAGCCTTACAGTGCTCACAGTCAAAACATGATGTAACTGTGACTGTGTGTGTGTGCGTGCGTGCGTGCGTGCGTGCGTGCATGCATGTGTGTGTGTTTGATGCCTCACAGCGACCTTAGCTGAACTCCTGAGGATGGTTCAGGCTCCTTGGGTGGTTACACATCCTCTCTGACTACCTCGGGTCTCCTGCCTATGATGTTGATGTGACTGAAAACTGTTTACATGTCAGTGACACCATATCAACTACTGCAGTCACACACAGCCGCTCTTCTTCCTTCAGGACGGAGGAGCTGCGGCGTCATCTATGTTGCTTCACATTCCAGCTTGTCCCTCTGTTGCCTTGTGGCTCATACACACATCATATAAACTGTATGCACTTTGTTGCATTCTCCTCCACATGAAGCATGAATCAGCCTTTTAATACTCTTATTTATGTCATATGTTTCAAATAGGATGATCTACTCTAAGACAGTCATGTTCTTAATTGTGCCTTTCCTTGATTTTTATTTCTGTTAAAAACATGACTGACACAAAATGTTTCTGCTTAATAAGAGAGATTTGTTGTTGTTCTTCAGGTGTAACAATGAGAATGAATGGTACCAGATCCACGAGAACATCATCCGCAAGTCCAGCACTAAATACACAGCTCCTAGCACCAACTACGGTAAGACAGACACGGTGTGTGTGTGTGTGTGTGTGTGTGTTGTGTGATTTTATCAGCCTCTCTTGTTGCCAAGTCTGTGCAGATCTGTAACTGTGTGTATTTTTTTCCTAGTAACAAATAAGTCACCTTGTTACCTCTGTTAGAGCACATGGCACAGAGGTTTGTTGATTTTAGGAACAAGAAGTGCAACAGTATTTGTGTTACTGCATTATTAAGTGAGAAGGCACTTAATCGACAGCTTTACAAACACTAATAAACGCAGTTAGACACATAAACACCGAAGTCATAAAGTCAGTCACAAAACAAACACACATGCCTCCCAGCAGCAGTTTGGAGAGCAGCACACACTCTGACTGACACATGCATGTCAGCACTTGACATCAGCTAGAAAATTGTCTTAATTGGTGTCACTGCAGGGAACTGTCAGCCTCCTCTGCCCTGTGTGTTTTCCTGCACTTTGTAAATGTGGTTATTCTCACCTGCGGCTGTGAGCTTATTTCAGAATGGAAATGTATTAACACGTATTGTTCAGGTTATCGAATAATAAAGATGTGCTGTGCTTTGTAGCTCAGGTACTCACTGTTAGAGCTGTGATCAGGCCCTAAACATCAGGCCCAATCTTATTCTGCATAATGAATGAATATTACATACTTTGAAAAGCATTGTGTTTAATATCACAATGAGAGTTTGCATGCATAATATGATATTAATTCCACTACAGAAGAGACTTGATGATCAGTAAAATTAGGTGCGGATATGGATATGGATATATCGGTATCAGGTTATTGGCCAGATGAGTTGTTATATATTGGATATCAGCAAAAACTCTCATTTATTACAAGCTAAGGTCAACTTCAGTGTTTTCAGTGTGGTAACAGATATTCATGATACGATCTCCGACATGCACCTTCTCCTACTGAATGTTCAGCACAGCCCAAAAACTGCCATATGCCATATATATTAAATAGAGATTGTATGACGTTGCTTCTCATTGAGTGGCCAGGGTTGTGATCAGTTGATGGCAACACAGCCCATAACATTCCTCATGACATTACGCATACTACAAGGTCTACATAAAGAAAATTAGAATAAACAGGAAACTTCCACAAACCTGACCTGATTCAAGCCGAGGAGAATTTTAAAAAAAAATTACAGCCCAGCTTGGCCTGAACCCAGCAGGTCAGGTCAGGCCCAGTCGGGTTCAGGTAGAGAATCAAAGGCCGACTCATTGTGCCTTCAGTTTGAGAAAGAGCTCAGGTCAAAGTTTCAAAACATCAAAGCTATCATCACTTTAAAGCTTCCCGATGCAAAAGATAAACCTAAACACACTCAAAGAAAAGCCGGTCTCTGTAGTCATGACAGTAATCACACATGTGTTCAGTGATACAGGAGAAATGTCCTGACTAACTAAGCTGCGAGTGAACTTCTCCGTCCATCCCTGCAGGTCTGATCATCTCTCTGCAGCTGCTGAGGGGCGACATGGAGCAGGTCCGCAGGGAGAACCCACTTATCTTCAGCAGGGGGGTGGCCATGACACGCAAGCTGGGCTTCCCCGATGTCATCATGCCAGGTGAGACAGCCACGTGTACTGAAGAGGGGTCCGCCTCAGTTCATTTGTTTGTGGAATGAGAGTCAAGAGGAGGAATTTGCAAAATGATTCCAGATGTTTCAGTTCAGGAGTAAAGATTTTTTTTTGGCTGAGTGGTGAAACATGTTTCAAGTCTACAGTTTCAGTCCACTGAATTATTCATTTAGTCTTTATGTACTATCTTGGTTTATGAAATTAACCTTGACAGACACAACGCTATCAGCTGTTCACAGCCACTAAACAAATAAGAGATAATGAAAAGAGACGCGCTTCAGTAAATGTTTCCTCCCTCATAATTGAAATATTACAAACAACCTTTAAACTTCCTCAGGTTTGTCTGTGTCACGAGAAACTGTTGTGTGTCACTGTGAAAATATTATATGTGAAAATGTTGTTATTATTGTATTGTTTCGAACCAGAATCACTCACTCTGTAAGAGAAGATTTGTAGTTTTTTGATTGTAACAAAACAGAACAGACATGTACAATAAGGACAAGACCATGGAGTTCCAGCAAATTCACAAACAAGCAATATTATTGTAAAGCTGATAGGCTACATGGGTTTTTAAGAAGGCATAAATTTAAATTAAAAAAGAAATAGATGTAGAGGTTAGATTGTTTTTTTGTTTTGTCTGAAAATGAAAACATGTTTTTCCTGTTTTGGAACTGTGGTTTAGTTTCCTGGTTAGGTTAACGTCCACGTTTCTATTTGGCTGTAACCTAATGAAGACACTCTGAAACATGTCAGCCACCAATAAGGCGGACACGTCTGTGTTTGTGTGTGGATGCTGTGCTGTCTGTGGAATAAGATCACACATTTGGGATGGGCAAGTAATTTTTATATTTCAGTACTCAAATTAAATACTGAAGAGTACACTCACAAAAGATACATATATGAAATAAGAATAGGAATCAAACTTGGAACACAGCATAAAACAAGTGCAATCTATAATTAATTTACTGAACTGCCAGGCTTCAATCAGCCTATTAAAGCATGAATTCAAAGTTAACATAGGAAACTTTCTGTTGCTGCCATTACAAAGGTTAGACACAGCGCTGAAGGACCGCTCTCTTCCTGGTCAGCTCAACATCTGCCCAGTAACAAACTAACATCGACATCAACGGCTCGACCCTGTTGTTAGACCCGTTCATAATTGTTAGGTAATGTTAGCCATGTGATGCTAACAGTTTGGCCCATCACTGTGTCACTCCCACCAACTGCACAGAGCTCACACTCCCTCAGCAGTAGTGTCATGATAATCAGAGAGAGTGACAGCAGGGCAACGGGGTGCTGAGCAAAGGGATACACACTGCACACAGGTCTTCAAGGAAATATGATTTTACCCAATTTGAATGGTAAACAAAAAAGCACAGGTTGGGCTGCAATTACTCTGTACGTTCGGCAAATACTGACATACAAATTAAGTGTACAAGTAATCGAATAACCACATCAATAGCAATCTAATCTCAGCAATCTCAAACGAACACCCTCTCCTTTTAAAAAAATATTATTGAATAATAAATTAACACTGCATGCAGCCTCCACCCCTACACCACCTCACCACAAACATGTCAAATATATTTACTCCTCTAGCATGAAAGGATAATGTGACAGCAGCATGAAGCTGACAGATCAGACGGTTTCTTAAAGATACATTACTTTATTTTCTGTGTAAGTGCTTATGGTGAATACTCTAAATCATAGAGAGAGAAATCCTCCTCAGAACCAAAGAGATTTACATTTACCCTCAAACTGCCCTCCAAAACAGACATTATGAAACAGTCAGGCTGCATTGTTATCTACACCTCTCTCACATACATTAACAATGCATGTCACACACAGACACACACACACACACACACACACACACACACACACATACACACGTATAGCGTCCCCTCAGGCAGTGATGGAGTGAGCATTTAACTCCCATCTTTAAACATTAATGGTGACATCTCCTCTATAAGGACAAGCTGAGATGATAAATGAATCCACACACGTTAACACAGGTCATTAGTCTTGTGTATGTCAGAGGTATTCAGCTTTAATGTGTGTGTGAGTCGAGATGCTGTGTGTGCCTCCATCTGTGTTTGTGGACACTACATACCCAGAATATCCAGCTCTGCGTTGGGTATAAGGTCATATGTTTCACTTTTTACAGTCCAACATCACAGTTTAACACAGTTTACAGTGTTTGTCAGACTTATTATGATTTGGATTAAAAATGAATACTTATTTGTTTGTTAATTATTTTGCAATGTCTCCATCCCGCTCCTCAGGTGACATCCGTAACGACCTGTACCTGACCCTGGAGCGAGGGGACTTTGAAAGAGGAGGGAAGAGCGTTCAGAAGAACATTGAAGTCACTGTTTATGTGCTGTACGCTGATGGAGAGATCCTAAAGGTTGGGAAGCTTTGCTGCTACACACCCCCACTACATGTACAGTATATATGAAGCAGTATAATGTAATGTGTATGTTTAATAATAATTACAAGTGAAGGCAATTTCTGAAGAAATTCTGGTGGGAATGCTGAATGTTGAAAAGCCGATGCTGCACTGAATGTCTGGTTTAAATGTGTCAGAAGGTGAAGAAGTAAGAATATTTGGAAAAGATTTAATTAGTATGAATGTCACTGAAAAGTTGAATGATACCAGTAATGTAAAAAGATGTCAAATATTTTATTCATTTGATTTAAGCTAACACATGTGCTACCATGATCCAAGAAACCTCTCCTATATTTTCCAAAAACATTCCCAACTGTTCTCTCTTTGTGGCAATGATAACATTTCCTCCCACTAAACAGTACAAGATGTTACACTGGGAAAGATAAGGTGAACAAGTGCACCCACCAGAGACAGTTTATGTGTGTTGGCAGGCAGGGCCAGAGTGGGACTCATTTTCAGCCCTGGAGTTTCATGCCTCAGATCGACCCACTTTAGATTACGACCTATTATAACCTTACAGGTTAAGTCTACAATAGAGCACTGTTCTCTAAAGCCTTGTAATTCAGTGTGTTTTTCTAAAATATTTTCAATTCAGTGCAAGTAAGGGTTGCTTCACAAAGTAGATTTATTTCAACATGAGTGCACATCTCCAACATTATTCTTAACAACACAACATCCTTTTCAACAATATCAGAATCTAAATTCTGTTCAAATAAGTGTTCACAGATACCCAAACCTTAAAAATTAAATAAAAGAATAAATAAAAATATTAAATATAAAATTGAAAAAAAAAGATAAATAAAAAGTGTTGCACTCTCTAATAACACTATCTCTCAGGGTTTTTTCGAGACCAAGGTGGCAAAGGCCTGTGGCGAGGGTCATCTTGAAAGCTGTAGTTTTAGATACAGTCCCCCCTCTATTAAATATGAAAGGAGGCCCCCACATGCTTGAGCTTTACACTGCTGACTTGTATAATCAGAACAGACATGTCCTGTGATTTTCAGCCTTCTATGATTATATTTACCCTTTACAGCAGGCACATCCTGACAGCTGAGAATATTACTGTCAGATATTATCCCCCCTCTATTAAATATGAAAGGAGGCTGAAAATCACAGGACATGTCTGTTCTGATGATACAAGTCAGCGGTCCTTAAATGTGTGTTTTTCTTCTATAATACACATTCTACATCTCAGAGGAGACGTCTTTTCACATATGGACTTCATTCGCCTTTCAAACGGGGCAGAGCTCCGTGGGAAACAGTAGGAGAGACACAGCCCGAGGGGGAACCGGAATCTGACACAATAACAGAGGGAGAAGCAGGTCCGTGGAGCTGTGGGCCGGACAAAAAAACAATCGCGTCACACCGAATGTGCGCGGCTAAGGCGTCACTTTGGGTTGTGAGCGAGCCAAAAAAAAAAAAAAAAAAAAAAGAGCTGCCAGTGGAGGCGGCCCAGGGACAGCGGTAGCAGCATAAGTGATACCAAGTGCCATGACTGAACACTGGCCCATAGAAAAGAAATAACTGAACACCGGCCCAATAAAAAAAATAACTGAGCACCGGCCCTCGCGGCCCAAACGTCAGACCGGCCCACTGGGTATTGTCCCGGTCCTCCCGATTAGCCACTCCGGGCCTGTTGGCATGTCTGGTGCAGTTCGGTTTACATGCAAAGTAATGTCTCTCTCTGCCTCCACCTGCAGGACTGCATCAGCCTGGGTTCAGGTGAGCCCAACATGCCGGAGCACCGCTCCTTCGTGCTCTACCACAACAACAGCCCTCGATGGAGTGAGGTGATTAAACTGCCAATTCCCATTGACCGCTTCAGAGGGTCCCACCTGCGCTTTGAGTTCAGACACTGCTCCAGTGAGTAACTACTGCTACTGTAGTAATAACAGTGATGGTAGAGTTTAATGATAACTTTTTATACATAGACTTAATGCAAAGACGTGGCCCATGGCCCAATTATGTCAGTGAAAAGAAGATTAACAGTGTGAGATGGATGCAACTCTGCTCGTCTTTTCACGACTTAATTAAGAAATAAATTGGTTCTTTCCATATGATTGTGAAGTTTCTCATAAAGTGAAGTTTCATCTTCACTGGAATAGAACTTACTGACCAAAGACATCCGTGCAAAGACTCAAGCAATTAAAGCAAATCCAGTAGAAACTTTGCCTCACTCTGAAGTCCCTGTATCTTTCAGTCTCTAACTGTATGTCTTTGTCTCCTGTCACATTTCCACTCACTCTGCAGCAAAAGACAAAGGAGAGAAGAAGCTGTTTGGTTTTTCCTTCACTCCTCTGATGAGGGAGGATGGAACCACTCTTTCAGACGAGAGCCATGAACTCTACGTTTACAAGGTGTGACACAGTTGCAGAGTCAGTGCTGCACTGACTGCCTCCCCGTTTGCCCCCGTAATGCTTTCTTGTTACTAATCACAGAGCTTTACCACAAAGTGACCTACCACCCTTTTGTCCTTGCAGAGTGTCATGGAGAAGTGGGTGAAGGTTTTCAGCAATGTTTGAAAGGATGCTTCTTCTGGATATTTATTCTGTGGTGTTAGTGTTATCAAACCAAATGACCATACAATTTTCTTGAACAGCTATGAAGTTTACACAAAGTAACATCTGCCCATATCCTTTAAGGGAACACTGGCCTTCTCTTTGACCAGCAAAGTCAGCGACATTTCACTTCCACCAGTTAAACCACCATAATAAGACCATGACAACTGTGTCCAACACACAGCCTTCGGATGTTTGTCTTCTGTTTGTATTTGGTGCAGTTTTTACTAAAGAACTTATTTTGGAGTGTAAGGGCCCTGACAAACCAAGCTGACAGTCAACAGTTGGTCAATGTCAAGCCGTCGGTGAGCATCCGTAGCCCTAGTTTTAGCGCTGTGTTCTGTGCCGTTGGCCCTCGACAGCCCTTATGAGTTGGCATCAGAGACAGTGGAGCCCGTTGGTGAATAAAATCACTGTGATTTGAAGTTTAGCTATGTTGAAAGAACAAAGGATATTTACCTTGTCCAAGCAAATAATGACACAAACAGTTATTTGCTGTTTCTGCTGAAAAGCTCAATGGCTAAAAAAAAAATTAGAAAACTTATTTTTAACTGACTCTCTCTTGACTTAAGCTGTTTGTTTACTTTCTCTACTTCCATTTCTCTTCTTGTGGTGTTGTTAATGAGCTAGCTGGCTAACTAGCGCCTTGAATCCTTCAAGCTACTAAACTACCGCTGCCTGCTAGTATGGAGAGTTATTTCCTCTCACACAGGCACAGATTGTTGTAGTGTTTGTGATGTGTTCAGATGCAACTTTTTGGCCAAGACACAGGCAACGTGAGGTGACGCAACAATCAGCCTCTGTTGCCGCTAGTTTTTTAACGTCAGTTTGGTGTGTCTGGGCGTTAACAATGACACTGCAGATAGATGACCGTGAAGTTTAATGAAATCTCATCTAGTTCTTTCGGCATGCTGTTAAATAGTCAAAATTCAGTATTATTTAAAATGGATATCCTGCAACTACGGCATTAAATGTGGCTTGGGGTAGAGGTTGACTCAATCGTTGGTTTAGCCAATATTGGCCGCTGGGCTAGCTATCAGCTTTACCCTGTTCCAAACTATAAAAATTATACTGACCTTTAAAAATCCACTGACAAATATGTGCAGCTGTACCAAATGTACCAGTTGTGTTTTAGTTTTTGAGATTTGCGAGGTTGCAGGTGTTTCCTGTTGGTACAGAGTGAGAGAGAAATTGTTTTTAAGTCTTTGATGGTAAAATGTTCGTCTCTGTCCTCCTCTTCCTTTTGGCTTCTCTTGGCTTCAGTGTGATGAGAACACCACCTTCAGTAACCACGCCCTGTACCTGGGCCTGCCCTGCTGTAAAGAAGACTTCAACAGCTGCCCCAGCATCCCCTCCAGCCTCATCTTCCAGCGCAGTGCCAAGGAGACGTTCTGGATCTCCACACAGCTCTCCTCCACAAAGCTCACTCAGAATGGTACGCAGCTGGTCCAACATTTTTATAGGTCTACTTCCCAGGGACAGCCAGAGTTTGAGTGTGTGTTGTCTGTGTGATTATGTAAACATATGCGTAAAGGTATACTATGCAGGGTTGTCAGTTACTGTTAGAAACATACTTGCTAGCAAAAATGAAAGTAAAAGTCAACGCCTTTTGTTTGGCATTTCGCCTCACTATCTTTTCAGCACTGTGTCTCTTGGATGCCTGCTGCTTACTCCTTGGCACCTGGTCACTAACTTGTATAAAGCCCTGACCTCATGTGAGTGATGTGGGGATACAGGCCCATAAACATCCCAAACACCAAAAAGAAAAAGAAAATAAGAAAAAAAGCAGACAGAGGGCAGAGTCTCTGCAGAAAAGTACAACGCCACACACTGAGAGTGGCTCATACGAGATGGCTGACAAAGATTTAGAAAAACACTGCACGGTGTATATTTAAACGTGCAGCTTAGGGACACAGTGGTATCCTAGTCTTTATCATTCAGGGGAATTGTGGTGAGGCTGCAACAAGGAAACCCCACACATTTTATGATTCTATATTTAAGAAGCAAATAAAGCTTTCCTATTCACCCTACTAGTGTCAGAACCATTTACACACATATGTATTTGATTCAAATGTTTAAATGTTGGCATGACATGTTATACAAGTGCCGATATAATTTTAGTTTATACTGCAGTTTAGCATGGTTTAAACAGCATCTTTGGTGTGTGGAAGATGCTGTGAACTCTGCGTAGGTTTAGCTTGTGTTACAACGTATGTGATGAGAACAGACAACAGTGAAGTGGAACATCATGTTGGTAATGGACCAGGCGAGATGTAAATTGGATAATGGACATGTAAATTTTTACTCAGATAAACTCATTCAGATTTTTTCCTGCCTCCTATGAGCACGCTGAGTCTTCACACAAGTGTTGAACTTAACAGTAGCATGAGTAAAAACTGAGATACCTTGCAAACTAGGTGGCCGAGGAACTTGGAGCACAGTAAAACTGCAACCACAATTAGTGTGCGTCTTTCTGGTAGTTGACATTCTTGTTGTCTTCCAGTGGATCTCCTGGCCCTGCTGAAGTGGAAGGCCCACCCAGACCGGGTCATGGACATTCTTGGCCGGCTACGACAAGTCAGTGGAGAAGAGATAGTCAAGGTGAGATTTAGCCTGACAAAAATCTGTATCAAAGTCTGTAACAAAAATAGCCACATGTTGGAGTAATGGATTCATACTGAGGAAGTTTTCTTAACCTGAATACTTTAATGGCTCATTTCTATGGGTAGAAAATATTAACATGATAGACACAGTGAATAAACAGTCTGGAGCTGAAACTGAGTAACTGCAGTGTAAGCACATCTCACACACTGAAAACATTTTCCCAGACAGACTCAAGGCCTTTGCACACCAAGTCTGTTTTTCCTGTGTGTTTTTCCAATCCATCATCCGATCAAAGACTTTACACAGAAGCCTTGCACAATATTGTTCTATTCATTAGAAAAATTCCCAATGTGAGACATGTTTAGTCCCTTGTTTCTCTCCACTAGAGCTACCTCCTTGTGCAGGATGTTCAAAATTATTGAATTATGAAGACAAAGTCAGTAAAACTAAATAGTCAGCGTGTCTAAGATCAACATGTCTACAGCCAACAGGTCTCAGGTTAAATCCCTCATATCTGCTTTTATATGAATTGACCTTTATCAGTCAAACCTGATCACAGCAAAAGTACCTAATGTTTCCAGAGCAAATGCAACTCTATCTGTCTGTATGTGTGACAGTTTCTCCAAGACATTCTGGACACATTGTTCTCCATCTTGGACGACAACACCGACAAATATGGACCACTGGTGTTCCAATCATTGGTAAGTTTGTATGTGCACAAAACATGCATCAAGACATAAAGTTGAGATCTCGCAGTTCTGTAGTTTGTGAGTGAGCCTGAGTTAAACAAGTCTCCCAAGAGCCAACTAGAAGCGGAGATCCTCTTAAAGTCAGTCCAATAACAGACACTGTCAGCTTCAGTCCATTTTCATGTCTGTTATCTGTAAAGCACACTACGCATAGAGTCTGACTGACTGATTGGTTATTTACAACATATTGGAACACGGCCTCTAATTGGACAATTTACCTGCAAACAAGTGTCACTCTGAACAATATTAGGTTCAAGTTTGTTGTTACCTCATTTATTGCAGCATCATAATGGAAGTTACAAACTGAATCTCATACTCGCACGGTGACCATGAAGATATGCTATTATATTAGAAATATAACATTATTTTAAGTTTCTCTCCAGACACATACATATAAGGCTTCATGTTTCCCATTTGTTTATCATTATTTTAACATCTCCCTCTCTGTGTGCCAGGTGTTCATTATAAACCTCCTCAGGGACAGTAAATATTACCACTTCAGGCCGGTGATGGACACGTATATCCAGAAGCACTTTGCTGGCGCACTGGCTTACAAGTAAGTGTTGTACTATCTATTGTACGATCCAGTGGTCAATGCACTGACAAACTAACCTCTAATACACTCTCTTTAAAGATATGCAGGTATGTGTGTGTCTGAATGTCTGTTTGTGTTTTTGTCGAATACACTGCAGGATACCATTCCTCTGAAATGGCATGCGCTCTCCTTAAATTTAATTTTCTAAATCTGCCAACAGCCCTGATGTTGAAGTTCTTTATCATTCTCTCAAGTAAACTTGTGTTAATGTGGTTTGCATTTTACCAACTATCTCCATCTATAATAGAGAAATGGAGGGCTTTTGTTGTTATTTCTGGTTTGTAGTATTTGTGAATTAATGACCACTTCAGTGTGAGTCCAAGAAAAGCCACACTAGTGAGTGTCCATTGCTTAAGTTATGCTCTTGTCAGTGCAGTCAGAACAGAGCTGGTCACAATATTACAGGTCTTAGCTGTGTTATTTAAGCTTTCGCTCACTTTGTTTTTAGGTCTTGGCCATGGAACATAATGCTCAAGTGTCTCATGTCACAATTTTTTAACACAGTTAAATGTTCGTTGTGTTTCAGGGAGCTGATCCGCTGTCTGAAGTGGTACATGGACCGCTCTGCTGAGGTGGTCAGACAGGACCACATACAGGAAGCAATGAGGGTAAGAGCCACTGACTGAAGCTGTTAGTTCTTTGATGTCTGTGTGGTGTGTCTGGGCCTTACGCCAGAATTCCACCGGATGTGAGTCCGTTGCGGAACAGCTGTGTCGGTCATTCGCTGCGTGCTCCGCCGTCAGTCAACACACACTGGCTGCGTTTGTGGTGCGGAGCGGTGCAGCTCCGCCGAAAAGCGGGAGTCATGAGGACCCACAAGATCTCGCGAATTCATGCATAATCGCGCGATATAACAACACTATACACTATAATAACAAGATGTAGTTTCTATAAACAGAACCACAAAACCAGAGGAGTAGTAGGAAGACATCTGGGTGCACCTCCATGATTAACATCTCCTCGTCCATGGTGTCAACGGGGTGAAATGACGTCTGAAAACCTCTGACCTGTTGACTTCAGGCCTGCCTCCACCCATTATGACGTTTTCAAGGTGTAGTGCAGGGAAATATGATCCGCCGTGAACACTATGTATTTTATTTTGAAAATTAACCGGATGTTTTATTTTGTTTCTGTGCACAACTTCCTGCCCCGCACGATCTGCTCTGTGCTGAATCGCTGCGTTGTGCTCCAGCACCCGGCAAAAATAGAAGTCCTGCGTATCTGTTGCAGAGGGCTCCAGACCGCCGCAGCTGTGACAGAGCCGGAACACAGCACAGCCGCAGCAGGTGGAAGCACACACATTAACTAGAATTGAAATGTATTGGCTCCGCTGCTGTTCCGGAGCGCAGACGGTGGAATTTGGGCCTTACAGCCCCCTCTCGAAAATGTCCAGTTTGCTCTGATTGGTCAGCATTTCTGGGTCCTCCATATCTCGGCGTTTCTACACCATCATTGCAGCCGCGGACCGACTGTATCGAAGAATAGCAACACTTTTGCCATTAAAAATCACCATTAAAATCCCCCGAACACAACTGGAAATCTTATAGCAGGAATATGTTCTAAAACTAGGAGAAATTAACAACATCCGTGACCAGTATTACGTTTCCCTGGTGTTAGCATGTAGCTACATGTAGCAGTGTATGTAATATAAACACTTGATGACCTCCAGCTGATGACCATAAAAATAAATCAGTAATGAGCTGACGTCAACTTGTAGCCAAAGCAGAAAAAAAACATTGCAAACAGAGAATTCAGAACCAACTGAAGCCTGAAGTTTTTGCTCACAGGGATTAATTTCACTTACATTTACCTCATTATTTAAAACTTTGGCCACTTTTAATATGAATATCCAACAT